TCCTGCCGTTGAACGCAATAGGATCAACGATATATAATGCCGATTTTTAAATTAGACGACGAGCCGCCCCACGCGAGAATTAACTGTGCTGACCCGCTTCCTCGACGCGGCCGTGGCGGTGATGGCGGCGACGGCGGCAAGAGAAAAAAGGATTTTTCGCAAAAATGCGATGCCCAAATGAATATGCGTCCCAGTGAATATACCTCGGAAAAGAATACATCATTATACACGCGGGGCCAGAGGCTCTTGTGTGCTGTACATATATAAAGCTACTCGAAGCCTGGCGACATTCTTTTGTTGCGTCGATACGTTACACAAGAGAGCTCTGCGATGGCGGCGTCGTCTCGCACAACTTGAGCCGCTGCTTCACCGCAATTTGGTACCTGAATGAGAGGAATTATATGGGCAAACATTGTGTTTCACGCCTGCATCAAGCCAATTCCAACGATCATTTCTCTATATACAACGGTTGGCTCATTTATTCTTTGCGATTTTTGCGAAAAAGCCGCAATGTACCGTTTGTAAAATCGTCGTGTCGTTCGTCATCGGTCACCGGGGCACGCAACAACAACCTTCCTCGAGTCCTTTGTACAAAAAAAAAAAAAAAAANGGCATTTTCTTCGGCTTAAAAAAAAAAAAAAAAAAAAGAAGAAGAAGAAGGCGAAGGAAAAATAATATCAACAAAAACAAAAAAAATGTCACGCGGTTTGACATATGTGCGACACATAAACGCGACGACGCACTTGGCGAATCTAAACAACAAACTGTATTATTATATGGTATATAGTATAAGCTGCTGCGGTCGCGCTTACACACACGCGTAATATCCTAAGTATGGCTTTGCCATGTAGCCGCTACTTATAGTGTACTTACGTAGTCAAAACAATGAAGAATCAAGTGTGGTATGCGCCACGAGCATACCAGCCTGGCATTTCGAGCCTGTATAGTACGGAGCTGTTTATGTTTGCAGATACGGCCATAATCCGCGAGCGCGAGCGGGGGATACATACGCGCTTCTCGCGCGTACTTTCGGAAACATTTTCCGCCCCCAGTTTTTAAATGACGCAAATTCCTCGATGTATCTTCCTTCGACACCCATTTAAAGTAACTTTTAATTCGCGCATTTTTTCAACGTATTAGCAATTAATAATGCTTATGCGTGTTTTTTGTTTGTGGGTGCATTCGTCGCGTCGTTGCATATATAGCGCAGTGTTCCAGATAACTTTCGCACGCTGTATTGCTGCTGCTGGTCCGACGCTGGGCGACGACGACGAATCTAGAATAGAACTGCATGGCACACGATCGTCGTGAACGCGGGCGCGCGCGCGGACCTTAGGGAACGTTATATGGAGCAGCAGAGACAGCAACTGCATAGCAGCCGCGCGCATGAAGACTTTCATAAATATTTTACTTTATGATGATGAGTAATGCCGGTACTAATCTGCATCGGATAGTAGGGTATATGCGTGGCCGGAGCAGCAGAGAAGAAGCTATCCTCCTCGGAGCGCAGTAAGCGGAGAGCGACATAATATTATATTAGATATATATTTTTAGCACTAAGCTGCGTGCGCGATACACTTGTCTTTTTCCGTGGGGAATTAATTTATAGCCAACATATTGAGCAGCGATGCTGTCTGTCGCAAGCTGCATTTATAATACGATCCCCCCTCGAAGAAGCTCTGCTATGTCCCAGACGACTACGACGATGGTCCATCAGTCAGCGCCTCGTATCAATTTCGGGGGGTAATTTTTAGACTATCAAAACATCTCTCTCACTGTATCTCTAGACGGGTGAACTCCCGTGGCAGTATACGAGCTGCGCGTAGAGCTTCGAAATCTCTCGTTACACATATTATACAGACACCAAGCTGGAGCACAAATTACCTCCTTCGGTGGACGTCTGTGTGTTTATATCGAGCCAACGCCGCCACCGCCACAGTGTTTACTCTTGTATCCTAATAGATATTTGATGATGATGAGGGGTAAAGACCGCAATTAGAGCGATTTTTTTCTATCTCTCTGTCTGTCCAGTTCTCATTATAAAATCCAACACCTGTTCGCTCGCTATTAGCTCGGTAAGCAAACGCAACGAAGGTATAAACATACAAGTTAAACTCGACTGTCAAAGTATATCTTGTATATGCAGCGCATATAGTGGTATAAGGTGTTGTTACCTCAAGTCCCAAACCACAGAGATTTTTTCGATGCCGTCGTTCGCTGCCTTTCTCTACTTCGCTCGGGGTATACGGCACTACCTGGATGACAGTATAAAAACAACGAGAACAACGAAATTGTAACATGCAGCAGCAGCAGTAAACCCCGCGTACGCCCGCAGAATCATCGTAACTCTATGGAGGAGTATCGTCGTCGCTGCACACGTGCCACCACCTGGTTGGCAATTAGCTCTCTTGTATATGCGAACACGCGACTGCTCTACAGGCAGCTGTCACCTACCTCTCTACGTGTGCATTATATTATATCTCTGCATGTGTGTGTGTGTATGCATAAGCGCACGCACGGAAGAATATCAGGAGAGCCCGCAGGATAAACGACGAAATCGACTGTACATTATATAATATATATTGTAATTATCGAGGCTGCACCGATGTGTTTTTCACCCGCGCGCGCTTGCAGGCTCGAGCAAACCAGGAGCAGCGCACCTGTGTGCATGTGTATATATAAAGTCACGTGCCGACGTGCGTACACCCTTTTAACCATTGCCTCGCTCGTAATGAGACGGCGCAATCTTTTTACCTTTTTTTTGTAATTCTCTGCTTTAACGCGCGCCCGCGCGCGAGAAGGAGGAAGGACAATTTGATTTCATCTTACACAGTATGGGCCCTCTCGGATTCTCCTTGTGTCGGTTGTAATTTATGGGCGCGCTAACCGAGAGCACGAGAATATATATTTTATACGCGGATGATCTTTTTTCAAATTCAGAGGAAGCGATGGTAGAGACGGAAGAATTATACATTTTTTTCCAGATAGGCCTCGCGTTACGTAATGCCTGACATGCCTTTTTATCTAATCGTTTTACCCGAAGTTACTTAACGTGTATAATACATGAGCGGACAGAAAAACTATATTAGCCGTTGCAGAATATCACGTGATCACAAAAGCAAATATACCATGGACGAGCGAGTTTTGTAATTGTATTGTCGAAAGCGGAGGAATAGTTTCAAAAAATTTCTAAGGCTCGGGTGACGTGCGACAATAATATTATAATAATATTATACAATGGAAAGCGGTTTATCTCGCGACCGGCTGGCGACAATCGAGCATTCGATAATGGATGTCAAATTTTGGAAGATCCAAGGATTTAATGTAGCGAAGAAAAAGATGAATTTTAGCTCATACATTTTTAACGCACTGAACGTGAACAACTTATTGTAGGATTTCAGGCGATAAAATGATCTGGACATTGTTCAAACAATTTTTTTAGAAACGAATCATCAAAATTACATTAGAAAAATTGTCCATGTACGGTTCTTCTGCGTAGTGGTACCAATCTAGAAACTGAATGAGTGGTACCAAACTGAAAACTGTAAATGAATGAGTAGTAAACTGAAAACTGGAACTGAATAAATGGTACCGAACTGAAAACTGGAATTAAACTGAAGTGAATTTAACATGAAAAATAAATTAAAAAATAGTTTCAGATTCAGTAAACTATAACGAATCCTACACCGTTTACTTTTTCGTAGAAATTGGTTGAAATATTATGTAAACTATTTGAAGTCCCATATGATTCCAATATAAAATGTGAAACCTCAAATATCTTTTTATTGAATTCATCATAGTCACCTGAAAATTATTTTTGAATTTTTGTCGTGCTAAATTCGCATGACATTTGAATTTAGATATAATTTTTTCCAGTTAGATATCGCTGTGCGCCGTTTTCTCGTGGACTAAATGCACCTGATCAAAAGGCGAACGTAGCAATTAATTTTTGTGAGGAAATTGGTTTGGATCCCAGAGTAAAGGTCAACCTGATTTTATAATTTAGTAAAAAATACTTCAAATTTCACGGAAAAATATATTTTTTAAATAATCACCTTTTCATTCTCATAGCAAAATTCATGAATGGGTTCATTGATTTGAAAAATAAAAAATTTTTTTACATTTGAAATAGCATAAACATCAACTGATCATCGGCACATCTGAAAATCCCCGTTGATCCTTTGCCGAGCTACACGCACGGATCTCGTGATACGTTTCTTGAAAAAAAAAGATCCACGCACGCATGCACTGGGCACCATCTTACACGTATCCTGGCCACAGGTTTCTTTTCCTTTCGCTCGCTTATGCCCATCTCTCTTTTTCGCTCTTTCTTTGCTTTCGTACGTATAAAAATATATATATGCGTGCCTTTATGACGCCGATGAGGCAGGTGAACGAGCCCTGCCTCGACTTCTCGAACGACGCAAGCAACGCTTCTTTTACTTTTAATGCGTCTGCAGCAGCAGCGCTGCAACGACTTCGAAAAAGTTGGCCACAGCTTTATAGAAGCGCGAAGATTTCTCGTAATATATGCCATATAGCAACGTATGGGGGCTATATAATATATCGAGAGAGCTGCTGCTGTCTCCGTAACTTTCAATGTTGGATTTTTAATCTTACTTTTTCTTTTAATCTAAAGTAAATTTTAGAAATTTGAGATGTATTTGAAAAAAAAGGAAGATTGTCCCGCGTAAACAAAAAAAAGAGAAAAAACGAAGTTACCGCGGGAAGATTGTGGAGAAAAAATGTTTGATTTGAATTAACATAATGTCATAGTTTTCGTTGTGACCTACAAACTACGTCAGATCTTTCGTAATTTTTATATTTTTTTAAGAGTTTATACATTATATTACATTATAAGGATCCAAGATTTATCTATGTTGGCATATGAAACTTTTTCAAATCTAGTTGCTTGTCTTTTATGTTCGATTTCGGTTTTGAAATCTCTCGGATTCTTATATAGATATAATAATCAATTCAATTTCATGTTAGGTACCCACCGTATGACTTTTCGTCTGTTGTTAGGATGGAGCCTGTCGGCCATCTCTGGGTCAATTTCTTTCAATCTGTTGTGTAACTCCTCGTTGGAGGTCTCCTCGATGCGACGAATTTTCAAGGGCGAAAAGTCGCCCTCGCTATCGGACTCGCTCGTCTTCGGATCGTCGATCAAGATTTTCCAAAGCAGCGACTCGATGTAGTAATTCGTGCCGCCGACGATGATCGGCATGATCTCTTTGTTGATTAAATTTTGCATCTGATCGATTTTGCGCGAGTAAACGCTTGGTGAAGGAAAAAATCATTATAAGCATATATACGGGCTAATTCATGGCGAATTCCGATCGGTACAATGTGTAACGAATAATACTAATCCGAGCATTGTTGAGCCGAGCTTTACACGAAGGTCATGAATGTAATATGAAAGGATACGATCGGCAGGGCTTGATTTCTAAAATTCACCACTGTGTACTCGTTGAGCGGATCAACGACGTCGAGCATGTGATGCTTCGCTTGCAACTGCTCCTCCTGGGTCACTTTCGCCGATGTGATGTCGAGACCCTTGTAAACCTGGAAAAAAACGCGAGGCGACGATCAATTATATTATTAAATCTCTCGAATCGATTTTCGATGCCGTATAATATATAAAGAGATTTAAAAAGGTGATCTGCAATCGAGGCCACACCAGGCTACTCTTTACCAACGAAACGCTTATATATGTACGAATTTTTGGGGAATCAATGGGGCATGGCACACGCAGGACTTAGGGGTATTGATTTTTTTTTTCTCTCTTCAAGGAAAAAAAGAAGAAGAAGAGAAACGAACAAGACATAGCGTGTGAAAGTGCGACAATTATTTCCTCATTTAAATATCATCGCAGCAAATTAATGGCTCACACACAGTGAGAGAGAGAGAGAGATACAATTTTTACAATAAGCTCCAATATCGTAGACACAATAGACCGCATGTGGGTAGGAAAAAAAGGCAGCAGCAGCCCTCGGTCAGATGTCCCAATGGCAATGGTGGTTTTCGGGCATTATTATGTATAGGGTCGACGCGGCTCAAAATCAATGTGCCGATTGACAGCGACAGTTATAGTTGCGCACACTTGGCGCGCTCATACACACATCGTTTCCATGAGTTACCATTAGATTCAAACAGTCGCACGCCCGTCTGTTTAAGCGAGTGCACGCGCTGCTCACGTATGACTACGTATATACACGTACTATATGTACGCGGGACACACAATAATCGTCAAGCCGCGCGCTACATTACGACATTTATATTATTATATATAAAATGTAGTACAGCACTCTTATGTGCACGCACGCGCCCAAGGAAACTGCAAGCCCGCATATTATTACACAGCACGGCGTCGTCGCAGCGACAGCGGCGTTTTAATACATATATATCGCACACAATGTACCTCTAGCACCTTAATACAGCAGAAGCAGCAGCAGCGCATATTACACACGCGACCGATGTCAGTGGCTTTTCCCACATTGTTGTCGTCGTCGTCGTCGAGGCAGCTAAGCAGCAGCAGCGGCGACACATCTTCTTCGTTTTTTTTTTATATTCGCGCGCGCGCGCCGTTTGAGCCATGGCTACATAAATATCCTGCTAATGAGCTGAGTATTATATACTTTCAACGTGCTGTATGACAACTGCACACCTTTTTTTCCTTGTATAGCAGCAGCAGCAGCGCGCAACAAGACAGAAGGCGCCGCCGCCGTCGCTGCCGCGCGCGTTTGTCGCATCTATATTATAAAGAGAGACAATTTAATTTGCGAAAATGTGTGCGTACTTTAACGCGAGCTTTGGAGTATCGAGCGAAATGACGGCTCGAGGCTCTACTCGAGTTACTATACATTAAGTTACCGCACGTGGATCACCCATATATTCGTTTATCCATATAATACGATGATTTCTCTATTTTTATGTAAATTACAAGAATCTGTATAGTGGCTATTATATTTGGCACACAGACTCGAGAGCGGTCGAAGAGCCGATAATTGGAAATGTATACGACTATCGTAGTCTTTTTAATTCTGCAATTCGAAAAGTGGCCGTTTCGACACATTCAGATATTTGCGCTGTATAGCTGTCGTATTTAAATACGAGCCACCGCTGAGGCGCTGCTCTTCATGCTGATCCTGGCTCCGTTATTTTATAAGGAGAACCGTCCGTCTGTCTTTTATTTTTTCTCTCTCTCTCTCTCGAGGAGGTATAAGAGATTATGTACGCACGAGTAGAGCGAGAGTGCCGCGCGCGTGTAAAAAAATAAAGCACACATACGTCTTTTGGCGCGGTGCGGTGGTATACGGGGCAAGCACGCGATCTTGGAATTGAGAAAAGAGAGAAATATTAATCACGTGTTTAGAGTCTAGAGCTAGTGTAGAGCTGTATCATATTGTCTCGGGCCCGGGCGCACATATTTTTCCTTCGCGCCATTTTTCTACCTCGACTTTCGAGTATACATCGAGGCTTTTCCAAGAAGCTTTCGTCATGACTTGGAGCGCCATCCGAGGATATTCAAAGATTTGCGATCTATTATATCAGTCCCTGCTATATGTATAAATGACGAACGAGATTAAGGTCGCGTAGCTTCGTGAATTATGTAATTATATGTGTTCAATAAAATTGTGTGAAATAAATTTTGTAACGGTTGGAATTTCTACACGAGCCTGTAACGCCAAAAATTGTTAAAAAAAGAAAGGCTTTAAAAAGTTCAATCCGCCAATCGAATTACGATAATCATTTCAATCTAACTTTTTCTTCTTCTTTATGACTTTATTAGAAATCTTACAAATTCTTAGCAATAGACATGAATGTGTTAGGATAAAAAAAGACGTTAGGCAAATCCAATATAATTACCAATTCAAATGAGGATCAACGAATCACGTGATCTAACATCTAATATCTTAAATATCGACCAATGTATCGTCGTTCACGTGATCAGCGGGTGATGGACAAATGAGCTACAAAATTTGTAAATTAATTCCTTCCTCTCGGGCTATGACAATTTTGAAAAATTGTATATTTATATATCCTAACGGTGTTTCCTGAACATTTCTACCCACCAGTAGCAAACACACACGTGCACATATAGCAATGCGTATAGCAGCACCGCATCGTTGAAAAAATCAATGGATGTTTAGAAATATATATATATGAGAGGGGCCCGAGGAACTGTAATACCTTATACACGAGCTGCTTCCTTCTCTCTCGCTCTCGGAAGAAGCAGCTCTCGAAGCTGCTCGAGCCCTGGCGAATAATAATAATTTTTTTCTTCTTTCAAAGGTGTTTAACCCCTGTTATTGTCGCACAAGGTAGTGGAGCGCTAAGGCCCATAACTAAGCCGCGTAAAAAGAAAAATTCGCTCGTGCGGAAGAAACGGGAAGGAAAATAGAATAGCGTGCTCGTCGTCGGGCCTATATAGTCCCTAGTTACTATACCAGTAGGGGACTGCGAGAATGTGTGCGTGTGTAAAGAATTTACGTGACGGAGATGCGTTCGCCTACCTGTGCGCGCCTTTACCAAGGCGACATTCCTATGTAACGTATAGATGTGTACGTGAGTATACGTATACGTAGCGTCTGCAGGTGAGTCGACTTCTTACGTATATAGATTTTTACGTGTGTGTGTGTGTGTGTGTGCTACGCTGAGCGTTTCTTTTGATGCAGCAGCTGCCTTGGCTCGAGCTCCTGTACCACCCGGATTTTCAACGAAAAATTCGCCTCTCTTCTTCTGGACCACACCGTTATTGTCTCCCTACATACACTGTATGTATACCATGTATGTGTGTGTGTGTATACCGAAGGAACCTCGGAAGTGCTATATAATGCCTATTATACCGTGGCAAATACAATGGAAACCCGAATTATGCATAATATGAGCTGTAGGCTCCGACTGTGACTCAAGTCTTCTCTTACTTTTGGAAATATATGTATCGACACGACATTGTCCAACGAAAAAGAAGGAAAAAAAACAATGGCAAAAATCGATTTCAATAATCTTGTGAGGATCATAATTTTTGACCGGTACGCGTATAGATGTGTGTGGGTACTTTGGGGCCTGTAAAATTTCCATCGCTTGGGATATCGATAGCTACCATTTGTTTTTACGATCGCAACGATTTTTTTCCTCATTAAAACGAATATAAATGAGTTCTCGCGCTTAGAAATCGAGATTGTCTTGTGTGCTCATTTGAAATTTGAAAGGAGCAGCGAGTGGATCAGTTTCTTCTTTTTTTATAGCCATCAAGATTGATTGAACGAACAAGGTGGCGATATTCCCTTATCGTGTAAAGTAAAGCAACGTAATGTCGATAAGATAATTTTACGGTTGCGATCGAAATAAACGTTTGAGGTAACACCTCCATGGGAATAGATATAAAGCTGCATCTAATCTAATCATCCTCAAACGTTCATCTATTGAGGAAGCTTACATAATCGCGCGTAATATTAGATAATTGTATCATCGAGCCATACATAATTTCCCACACACGCGGGGACAGAAAATTTCGGAGGCGCCTCGCGTGTAATATTTGAACAAGATGTTTGCAATAGCTTTGCGCACGGGCCTGATCAAAGAGCGCGGAAGAAAAAGTAAAAAAAAAAAGAGGATCGATTCTTCGACTCAATTTCATTCTATTCTCGATGACAACGATCTTCCCCGTGTCCGAACTATGTGTGTATAATAACGTATTGGCGCCAATAAATTCCGGCAAATATGTGTTGCGGACTCTCTCTAGCGCGCGCGAACTCCTCTACTACGCACAAAGTCTGCAAAAGAGACGCACGCACGCGGCTTACACGCATACTAAGAAGCAGCGGCAGCACAGCAACATCGGCTTGCGGCCGGGGCATAGAGGAAGAGAGAGAGAGAGAGAGAGACGCGCCGTTGGCTCGCGTACATTACTATCGCAGCTCCTTAATCAGAATACTTTCATTTCGCGTGCTATAGGCATCCAATATATATAGATGCGTGTGTATACGCGTACATACGTACATACATAAAAAGGACATGCGAGTACTACTGGGAGCGAGTATGCGCGCGCTCGCGCCGCGACGATGACAACACATTCCAGGCCATAGCGCGCGCGCGCGCGAGGATACATCTCTCACTATACGCTATACTCGTGCTGCCGCGAGCCGCTGCAGATGAAAACAGGTTTTAAAGCCTGTGTGTGTGTGTGCACGCGTGTTATGCCGCATGTACAGGCCCGCCTGTACACGTACGCTATACGCGCAAATTTTTAAGATGTGTGCTGCAGCAGCAGCGTAAGTGTATAACATACACGTATAGGTATGTACGTACGTATGTATGACGCCTTTTGCAAAAGCACACACACACGCGCGAGCACGCGTACATCTATATACGCGCGCCGGGGCAAGTACAGTCGCTTACAAATATCTGCCGTGTACATGTGCGCGACAGAGAGAAAGAGAGAGACTACGAGAAAGAAGGAAATGGCAGAGTCTCTCTTACGCACATATATGTATATATACAGTGGCAGCAAGCGAGCCATGAACTGCAGACTTGAATGACTAAAAGTCATTCTCCACTTC